AATCACTAGTGCGTAATGATGGTTTAGAATATGAGGACACTTATATTTCGGTGGTCATGGACTCTTAATGAGGAGATTGGCTTGGGCATACCGCCAAGCAGGGGATGCTCCGGAGTCGTGATGCATAGTTAGATTGCTTAGAGTGAAAGCTCGGCATATCTAACTTGAACACTTTGGTGCAAAGGGCACCAAGGATGTAGTAAATGAGATGGGGACACCCAAGTCTCAATTGCTATGGATCCTTGGCCGGAAGGGGTAACTTGGGCGCACCGCTAAGTGTGGGGGATGGATTTGTGAAATCTAGATCTCCAACAAAGTCAGCATCAACATATCTACTAAAGTGTTCCCAACTTGGATTGGGAGACAATGCCCATAGCAAGCACTATGTATGGATGTGTATAAACCATCAAGTATAGTACGTTGCTAATAGCTTGTCAATACAGAACAATAATTATCTTAGAATAGTTCTTTGGTGGGGACGTGGACAAATCTTCTCTGCCAAGACGGAATCAATCAAGCACTACATGATCAAGTGTTTTTTTATTACAGTTAATGCTAACGTATTGTTTGGCAATTGGAAGCGCCAAAATGTGATTCAAACGAAAAGAACACGATTTCTCGACTCTCACTCTCTCTCTCTCTCAACTCTCTCGACTCTCTCTACAAACGAAGTGTGGTGCCCATGTTCTCCTTGGTCTTGCCAGCGTTGTTTCCACCAGGATGGCCAGCCTCTAGGCAGCCGAAGCAGCCAGCCCTCGAACACGGCTCACCAGGATTGTCCCTGGAGGACTGAGTGAAAGCTCCAGGTCCAGCTCCGGACTGTGAGCTAGTGTCCCTGGAGGACACAGCAAAAGCTCCAGCTCCGGGCTGGGGACGCTTTCAGCTGCCGGATCCCGTGGTCCATCCTGTGCTGCCGTCGTCAAAGCATCCCACCCGCCCATCGCCGGGGCACCGTCGCCTCAGGGAAAGCTGGCCGCTTCATCCCGCCCGCCCATCGCCGTGGCACCGCCGCCTCGCAGAGAGCTGGCCGCTTCCTCCCGATTTGTCGCCACCTCGCGGAAAGCTGGCTGCTTCCTCCTGATTCATCGGCGTGGCCCGCCCACCCATCGCCGTGGCACCGCCGCCTTGCAGAAAGCTGGCTGCTTCCTCCCAATTCGCCGCATCACGCCCACCCGTCGCCCTCCTCCAATGCCGCTTCCAGTGGCGCCACCAGCTCCGCCTCCTCCAGCTGTCCAAGCGTTGCACGCGGCGGGTGAGCAAGCACGAGGTGATCCCACAGCGATGGCCGCGTGCGATGCGGTGAGCGATCGGGACGGCTTTCCACGAGACGGCAGTGCCAGGAGCACCAGCTGGTGGAGCCACTGGAAGCGGCATTGGAGGAGGAGCGCCAGCTGGTGGAAAAGCAGGAACAAGGGAGTGTGTCCTGGGATTGAACACATACTCAACAGTTTTCCTTGTGAGCGCCCATTTGGCAGGTTCATGAGCGAGGAGGATCCTGAGCGCTCCTCGCGTGGTCGTGTATGCCAATCCAGGGCGATGAGGTGAGTGTGGTCTTCCTACCAAGATAGGCTTGAAGGAGCTTGCTTACTCCATTGTTTGCAGTCACAGGGCGATAGCCTCGTTTCAAGCAGAATGATAAGGGGAAGCCCGTCTGGGCTTCACTCGACGAGGACACTCCCGTGGGAGATCGCCGAGTGGTTAAACCAGAATCATCGCGTGGAGTTTGAGTCTTGCCAGCCGAGTACATCCAGAAGTTCTACTATATTGTGATGAAGAAGAAGAAGAAGAAGAAGCAACGGCAGGAGCTCGCTGTGAGTAGTTTTTGTTTCCAATTTTTATTCTTCTTTTGCTTCATCAAGGCTGAAGAGAGAAGTGAAAACTCTGGAAAACGTAGAACAGATGCCGACCCTTCTTACTCAGAAGAAACACCAAAGGTGTGCTCTCTCTCTCTCTCTCTCTCTCTCTCTCTCCTCCTTGCGTGTTTCTGACTTCTTAGGTGGTTGTAGAACGAAGCATGCCAGGAGTAGCCGCATGGAGCAGTCCAAACCCGTATCGGACACTACTGGTGGGGAGCTCATCTTTCCTGTGTTGAATGGTTGATAGCCTTGTGCTTTCAGGAATCCTGGCGTTGACGACGAAGACAATCATCTCTGGACAATAAGAAGTCATGAAAAGGAGATACGAGCTGTATGTGACACTGTTTATGGGCTTGGTATTGACAGCTTTTGTGTAAACTTGCAGGCTTTGTCAGCTACAAGTGAAGCTACGGGATCTCGGGGGACTAACGTCAAGTCTCAAGCTTACGAAGAGGTGAAAGCAAGTCCCGGAGAGCAAGTGCTTCCTCAGACTCGGTGACGAACGAGACACCCATGCCTCCGCAGGTACTTAGGATGACTAATGCCCAATTTCTTTTATCCTTTTTGACCTGTTAGTGTAACAGATGAGTATGCAAAGTTGCAAAGGATCCAGCACGCTCAAGCTCGGCGTTCACAGATTGTCGGTTGCAACGCTGTAAGCCGTTTTCTATCAAGGCTGTGGTCCTCGCTAATGTGAAATGCAGGCACCTAAGGAGCTCCTTATTTGGGGGTTTTCTGGGAATCTGACGCTTTCTTCTTTAGCGATGGATGTGATCCTTTCTTGTCTTTCTTGCTTTTGGTGCATCGATTTCAGGAGTATGCTTCACAGGTGGGTCTCTAGTTGTTTCATGTGCTGAAAGCACTGTGAAGGTCGTATCTTACTACGTTTTGTCTTGTATATATTGACTTTTTTAATTTTTTTTTCAAATTCAGGTATGAAATTCATCAACTGCTGAGTGCCTCTACACTCTGGGGCCTGGTTCTGACGAAAACAACGTGGCTGGTCATAAGAAAGAAAACCTCTGCACTGGCTGCTAATCCGTCTCAAACCTGTAACGTTTGCTGTTCGTGACGCACTTGGATCTTGCTTTACTGGGCTGGTTTTGGTTGTTTGCAGGCCTTGTGGCAACAAGTAGTGGTCAAGGCAATCGACAACTGCTTTTGTAGAGGAACGCTTGTACCAGAATTAATCTCACAGAACAGGTATGTGAGCTAACTATACTTTTATTCAAGTAGAAAATGCTGAAAGTGTAATGGTAGTTTTTTTTCCCAGGGAAGATTTGCCCTCTGGAGTTTAACAATAACCTACTGATATGCGGAAGTTACTCGTCGCAAAATGGCTCGGGTATTGTTCAGATCTGGGACGTGGATGCACTCCTTGAATGCTGCAGATTTCCAGCAAATGACATGATAGTCAACATTGTTTTCCACTCTTGAGAGTTTCTGATTCGTGTTTTTTTTTTTTGGACAGTCTATAACTGATGCAGTAGGAACAATTGTTGTGACAGGTACTTAACTCAGATATATGTCTAGCCTTTGCTGATGCATTCCTTTCAACAGGCCCAGGCGATGGAACAGTCGGCTTATTTGAATCTATATAAATATTTTTTGTACATATGACTCCTTTTCTAATATTATAGTAACAATTAACTTCTTAAACTCAAATAAAACTTTACATTGTTTGTACTTGTTTTCCCAGTGGCTTAGATCCCTACTAGCCTGTATAATAATGGCATATGCTAGGGACACATATTTTCATTCCTAAATTTTAATGGCTAAGATTAAATATTAGAATTTGGGATCATAAAATAAATTGAAAAGGTTGGGAGGAAGTGTAACACAAGAGAGCATTCAATGTGTGCGTGTGTGTGGTGCCATTTTTACCTATGGTTTATTATATGGAGCACCATTTCATTATTTTATATTCTAGCTTTCTCACAAACCCAAGGAGAGCCTCTTCTCACAATAGTTCACTTTTATTTATTGATAATTTACCTCAATCACAATGTACTTCTGGAATTTTGTGAAAGACTGAAGGTTTGGAAATTTGCCAATAACAACAAGTAACTTTTCAAATTTTGTGTTCTTTTGAGTGATTTGTTTTTTTCTCTTCTTTTGTCATGCCACTTAGCCCATGAAGTAGGGAGTTTCAAGTTGTTTGTGGCATTTTATAATTGCTCAACAAAAACTCAAAATGTTCCACCTCCTTACACCACCAGCTTCTAGAAGGTGGTGTAAAGTTTGTAAATACATTTATGTATACTATTTATGTTAATTAGCATTTCCTAAATAAACTAGCAACAACAGCTCTAGCTAACTAACTTGATGCTATGGAGAGAAACATTAGGAAAGGGATCAGGAGCCCATCAAATGCCTTCAGTCCAAGGACACCCATCAGTGAGTGCTCAATGTTAAACTTTCTTTGCTGCCTCTGACCTTGTGCTTTCAAGGTCCAAGTCAGGAGTCTCCTAATGAACTCATCATGTTTTTTATTGACTCTCTTGCAGGTTTGCGCCAGCTTGATCAGATGCTTGAACACTATCAAACCTTGGCACTGCTAGACGGACTGCATAAATTTATAACATTCTAGGACAAAGAAAAATTAAAGTCACACGTCCTTTAAATTCAACACAGCATCAAGAGCAAGGGGTCCGATCTTAGGGGCATCGATGAGGATCAAACACGGGGAGAAGTCCTCTATAGGATGCATTACTGGTGAATGCTCATCTGAATGCACTGGTCTAACATTGAAGTGCAAAGAAGATTTAAATCCCGATAGGGGATAGCTGCAAATTTCAGCAAAATGGTATGTCTCGAAGTGTAAGAAAAATACTTTCTTGATAAGCCCGGAAGAGAAAAGAGCTTCTAAGACTTGAACCAACGAAACCGTTGCTCTGTCCAGTTGGTCTGGATTCGATAAATCCAACCTTAAGTTCTTCCTCGCCCAGGTAAACATGCTCGGCCCTGCTGCCCAATTCCAAATGGGAAATACGAAACTTCAGAAAGACATGGAAAGACCACAAGCGTTGGCGGACTGAAGCCAGCAGCCAGTGAAAATCCAGCCAGTGTAAAGTTTGTCCGTCCTCCACCGAAGACTGAATAGAGGAAATGCTATATTTTACGCTTAAAGTTCTGGAAAGAAATAAAGGAAGAAATTTGCCATTGACCGTTTGCGCTTGTTGGCTTTCACGCAGAGTTTCCTGCGCAATGCCCTTCACGACATGAATCCAATCACTCTCAGCAGCTAGAAAGTTCCATGTTCGTTTCCACAGTCCCAGATATCTCTGCCTTAGCTACAAACCGGTCCATATGAGCGAAGTTCCACTTTGCCAGCTCAAATCTCTTCCGATGCGTTAGCCTGGCTTTGAAAGAAATCTCAATTGCAAGGAAGCTTCTCTAGCAAAAGCAAAAGCTCAAATCCTGGAAGCGCTGCCGAGGCCGTGGAAAACTTCGATCCTCGGTATACTTTCTGCGCCTGAACGCCTGCGGACAATTGTGGGCAGATCTTCACCGGAATAATTTGCGGCATTTTTGAAAGCACCGAAGTGGTGTTCATGCTGCACGTAGGCACGAGCAAGCATGCAAATCCAAATGTTGCCAGTGACACCCAGCAACTCTTGCATCCTGGCCCAGAGTTGCTGCCTCTCCTCGTCATACTCCACTCCACCAGCCGAGACGACTGCCTCTCTTATGGCATGACCTATCTCATCCGAGCTCGCTCCCAAGTCCCTCTGCGTGCTTGGAGACTGGATCCACGCCGCAAACGCCTCACAGATTCCTCTGGTGGAGTTGCTAATCGCAACAAAAACCCCTTTCCCACCGCGCGACACGCGCTGCCCCCCCCACCTGGTATGCAGCAGTGACTCGCCTGTGACGATCCAAGCAAAAAGGATCACGATTGAGCAAAGAGAAAGGCACTCTGCATAGACTCACAGTCTCGTTTCCACGTCTCACGGTCAACGCTGCCGCCCAAGCAGTCCTCGAGGATCAGCTGCAGCAGCAAACTCGTAAGCGATGGATGGAATCATTGACATGATCATGAAGAGCTTACGTAAGCTATGTAGAGGATCATGTCGGAAATCCCAGGTCTCCATGTGGCCTCGTTGCGGCTGTCATCGTCGAAACGGTGCCTTCGAAGCGTGTTTTCGGAGCTCGCAGTCCGGAAGAGTCCGTCCCAGGCTGCCTGCTTGATCGCCCCGAATTCTTCTAGAGAGCACGCGGTCAGGCATGGATCCCACTGCACGTTGGCGCAAATCTCCACGAAAAGGCTACCGTAGTCATTGCCAAAGACGGTGGCAGCCGCGTCGCAAAGCTGGCGGCACTCGTCGCTGCTTCCCCGGCTCATCGTAACCTGGATGTGCTCCACAATCGACTCCGATGATGTCGCTGCCGAGCACAGGGATTTGAGCTCGGCGTGGTCGCGGCGTCCCTTCCTCGTCCGCATCCATGTAGAGATCAGGCGCGCTATCGGCACGCTCACGTCTGCGTACTCCTGGAAGAGCGGCTCCACGCGGTGGAAGTTGTAGTGGCCTTGGATCCACTGCTCGAGCCGGGCACGCATCTGGTTGTCCCATTGGATTTCTCCCGCTGCCATCACCTCCTGCCACACAAAAGCTTGAACGCTCTCTCAAATCAAAACGGTGTCAATCATCATACCTCCAACATCTGGCGTAGAGCGACGGTGATGTCCATGGACTTCCACTCTATCCTGGGCGCGTTCTCGATGCAGGAACGTATCCGTTTGAGCTCGTCCAAGGATGCCGGGGAGGACTTTTCATCCTTCAGCGCTGCTTGTTTGCTCAGGAACAGCAGCAAGAGATTTTCCAGCGGTCCAGCTCCGCCACCGCCACGGTCACCTGCTATAGCTTGTGCTTCGAATGCGTCCAGCCATTCCAGCGGCTGTTTGTTGCTCTGGAGCTGGAGCAACAGCCAGGTGAAGACGACGTCGCAAACCTCGCCGCTCGCATCGAACAGGAGAGCGGCGTCAGCAACGCAAGTGGGCGAGAGAGTGCAAGGAAACAATATCGACACGATGGCTGTGGAAAAGGAACCAAGCTCTCAGCTTGAGAGGAATCCAAAGAAGAAGTACGTATAGCTAGCTACCTGACACATGTTCATCTGTGATGACCAATGGGAACGACGATGGCGTCCGATCAGTGGCCTCCTCGAGCTGCAAAAAAGGAAAAACCATAACTTTGCTACACGATCCAAACAAGCACTCACAAGGTGGAGTTCGATCAGGGCGTACGTGCAGCGGCCTGTGCAGCACTCGGGGCGGGGATGAGGATTTCGAGATTGCTCTTGATGTGGGCTATGGCGCGTGAAGTAGTCGGCCGCGATGAAGAGGTGCAAGAAGCCATCTGGCACGGTAGCGCCAAGGACGCGTGCGACGGCCACGGTCCAGATCTTCCACTTGAGCTCCGAGACAGTGGAAGTGCCGGTGGAGTTGGGCAGGACTTCAAAGAACCACGCACCCGGGGGATGATCCAGCTCCAGCCCAAAGTGAGAGAACGTTGCCCTCACAACCATCAGCAGTCTGGAGCCTATGCCGCTGCGGAACCATTCGGCCACGCGATCGCCAACGCATGGCATCCACCCCACCACTGGAATCAGTCCTTCCATAGCCCTTCCTTTGTAGATTTATTTATGTTTAGCATCTTCGTCTTCCTGCAAGGTGTTATGCTTCTCAAAGCAAGGAGAACTTACGTAAATGGCTCTAGCACAGGCGCTTCACTTCGACCGAGATCTCACAGTATAAAAAACAAGAGCTTGTCAGAATTTCTATAACCCTCTCTCACCATTTCTCTTACGATCCCCGCGGCTCAGCTCTCCCATATCCAACCAAGCATTCTACAATAAACTCGTAACAAGAACAGAAAAATAGATCTTTTCAGTACCTGATTCGCAATGACCGCCATTTCTCAACACGAAGAAGCTACACCAAACACACTTGAGCACAAGAAGGCTACAAATCTCGTTCTACCGCTTGCTGGTTCTCCTGGAATCGGGTGTGTTAACCGCCAGTTTCGATGGCGATGATTATGAATTTTCATACAGCAAGAATTCAAACAAAGAAACAAAACTTGAATAGAAAGTACCAGCATCCAATTGAAACCTGCGGAGCGGAAGGTGATATGTAAGCAAAAGAAGACAGAAAGAAGACTCACGGGGCATGGTTCTCCAAGTGTAACATCCCAAAGAGCCACGCTGCCATTTCTCCACTCGCTGCTAAACCAGAGAGCATAATTTCCTCCTTGGTCTCCAGCACCCACAAAGCTACACACACGAAAAGAGAAGAGTTGGAGGTTCACTCGCTACACACCAAGTGGGAACAAAACCTCTTACCCAGCGCGCTGGCATTGGCTTTCCACGACTCAAATAGTGTAACGCCTTCGTAGACCGGGAGCCTGGGGTGGGGGTGGCTACTGCAAGCGGGGAGCTAACGCAGCGGTCACGGGTCTCCATTGGCATTAACCGTGTGTCCCAAACGACTGCTTTGTTTGCCGTGGGAGATATCTTCCACAGGAACTGTAAGCAACGGAAGCAACCTGGGAAACAAGCCACATGACCTTGGTTTTGGCTGTAATGGAGGAAGAAATACCTCACAACGGGGGCCAAGAGGCACCACAGCTCCGGATATCAAATAAGCCGACTGTTCCATCGCCTGGGCCTGTTGAAAGGAATGCATCAGCAAAGACTAGACATATATCTGAGTTAACTACCTGTCACAACAACGGTTCCTGCTGCATCAGTTATAGACTGTCCAAAAAAAATAATAAGAAAACACGAATCAGAAACTCTCAAGATTGGAAAACAATGTTGACTACCATGTCATTTGCTGGAAATCTGCAGCACTAAGGAGTGCATCCACGTCCCAGATGTGAACAATACCCGAGCCATTTTGCGACGAGTAACTTCCGCATATCAGTAGGTTATTGTTAAACTCCAGAGCATCCATAGGAGGCAAATCTCCCCTGGAAAAAAAAAAAAATACCATTACACTTTCAGCATTTTCTACTCGAATAAAAGTATAGTTAGCTCACGTACCTGTTCTGTGAGATTAATTCTGGTACAAGCGTTCCTCTACAAAAGCAGTTGTCGATCGCCTTGACCACTACTTGTTGCCACAAGGCATGCAAACAACCAAAACCAGCCCAGTAAAGCAAGATCCAAGTGCGTCACGAACAGCAAACGTTACAGGTTTGAGACGGATTAGCGGCCAGTGCAGAGGTTTTTTTTCTTATGACCTGCCACGTTGTTTTCGTCAGAACCAGGCCCCAGAGTGTAGAGGCACTCAGCAGTTGATGAATTTCATAATTTGAAAAAAATTTAAAAAGTCAATATATACAAGACAAGACGTAGTAAGATACGACCTTCACAGTGCTTTCAGCACATGAAACATGTGAAGCATACTCCTGAAATGGATGCACCAAAAAAAAAAGAAAGAAAGACAAGAAAGGATCACATCCATCGCTAAAGAAGAAAGCGTCAGATTCCAAGAAAACCCCCAAATAAGGAGCTCCTTAGGTGCCTGCATTTCACATTAGCGAGGACCACAGCCTTGATAGAAAACAGCTTACAGCGTTGCAACCGACAATCTGTGAACGCCGAGCTTGAGCGTGCTGGATCCTTTGCAACTTTGCATACTCATCTGTTACACTAAACAGGTCAAAAAGGAGAAAAGAAATCGGGCATTAGTCATCCTAAGTACCTGTCGAGGCATGGGTGTCTCGTTCGTCACCGAGTCTGAGGAAGCACTTGCTCTCCGGGACTTGCTTTCACCTCTTCGTAAGCTTGAGACTTGACGTTAGTCCCCCGAGATCCCGCAGCTTCACTTGTAGCTGACAAAGCCTGCAAGTTTACACAAAAGCTGTCAATACCAAGCCCATAAACAGTGTCACATACAGCTCGTATCTCCTTTTCATGACTTCTTATTGTCCAGAGATGATTGTCTTCGTCGTCAACGCCAGGATTCCTGAAAGCACAAGGCTATCAACCATTCAACACAGAAAAGATGAGCTCCCCACCAGTAGTGTCCGGTACGGGTTTGGACTGCTCCATGCGGCTACTCCTGGCATGCTTCGTTCTACAACCACCTAAGAAGTCAGAAACACGCAAGGAGGAGAGAGAGAGAGAGAGAGAGAGAGAGAGAGCACCTTTGGTGTTTCTTCTGAGTATGAAAGGTCGGCACCTGTTCTACGTTTTCCAGAGTTTTCACTTCTCTCTTCTCGCTGTGATGCAAACCCAGCCTTGATGAAGCAAAAGAAGAATAAAAATTGGAAACAAAAACTACTCACAGCTGGCGTTGCTTCTCCTTCTTCTTCATCACAATATAGTAGAACTTCTGGATGTACTCGGCTGGCAAGACTCAAACTCCACGCGAGGATTCTGGTTTAACCACTCGGCGATCTCCCACGGGAGTGTCCTCGTCGAGTGAAGCCCAGACGTGCTTCCACTTATCGTTTCTGCTTGAAACGAGGCTATCGCCCTGTGACTGCAAGCAATGGAGTAAGCAAGCTCCTTCAAGCCTATCTTGGTAGGAAGAACAAACTCACCTCATCGCCCCGGATTGGCATACACGACCACGCGAGGAGCGCTCAAGATCCTCCTGGCTCACGAACCTGCCGAATGGGCGCTCACATGCCGGTTCGTGAGCGGCGCTCCAATCCACCTGCATTGGTGCTTCATCGCCGACGGCTGGCGTTGTCGCTGGATCCTCCGTGGCGGCCGGAGCTTCTTCTTCCTATCGCTGGAGGCGACGGTGCCCCAGCGATGGGCGGGCGGGATGAAGCGGCCAGCTTTCCGCGAGGCGACGGTGCCCTGGCGATGGGCGGGTGGGATGCTTTGACGACGGCGGCGCGGGATGGACCACGGGACGATCCGGCAGCTGAAAGCGTCCCCAGCCCGGAGCTGGAGCTTTCGCTGTGTCCTCCAGGGACAGTAGCTCACAGTCCGGAGCTGGACCTGGAGCTTTCTCTACGTCCTCCAGGGACAACCCTGGCGAGCCGTGTTCGAGGGCAGGCTGCTTTGGGCTGCCTAGAGGCTGGCCGTCCTGGTGGAAGCAACGCTGGCAAGACCAAAAAGAAGAGGGGCACCACAGTTCGTTTGTAGAGAGAGTCGAGAGAGCGAGAGTGAGAGTCGAGAAATCGTGTTCTTTTCGTTTGAATCACATTTTGGCGCTTCCAATTGGCAAACAATACGTTAGCATTAACAGTAATAAAACACTTGAATGTTGTGGTCTTTTGTTGATCATGTAGTGCTTGATTGATTCCGTCTTGGCAGGCGAGATCTGTTCACGTCCCCCCACACGCTCCTGGATTCATCGTTTTGAGTTTGAGTGGTGGAACGATCCCCAAGTACAAACGAAGCAAAAGCACTAAGATCGCTCATCAACCAAGACATCCTCCTAGAGATATAAAACAGGAAGATCTCTTTTTCACTTTCCCACGGGGAGGAGACATCTCACGCGAGGGAGGAGCATAGCAATCGCAGCAGGAAACGATGCCTCGCGGATTCGATCATGGATGTACGCGATGCCCCAGCTTGACGATTTGGAAAGTAGAAGACGGGAGCGTCTTGTTTAAAGTCTCATCTCACGAAGAGTTCCCATCTCAATCTCCATCTCCCGACTCGAGCAAGCGAGGCCCTCTCGCGAATGGCCGGCGCGGACGAGTTCCCCGACCTCTTGCTCCAAGTCGAGAGCCTCCTCCACATCCTCCGCTCCACGGCTCCCAATCCCTCCAAGACCGAAGCTCTAGACGCGTGGAGCGGAGATCTCACGCCGAAGATCGTCAGCAAAGTCATCCAGGCTCCCAAGTTCGTCGACGATGCCGTGTTCTTCTTCACGTACGCGCAGCACAGCGGCTACCGCCACTCCAACAACTGCTTCCTGCGTGTTCTCCTCCGCGATCCGCCCGAGAGCTCCTGTCCGAGGTGGTCGACTCCTGGCAGCTCCCAAACGCGTCAACTTTCGCGGTCATCTTGCACGGGCTTTGGCGACGTCGCGATGGCCTGCGAGGTGCTCGTCGACCTCAAGAGCCGAGGCACCGCGGAGTGCAATGCCACTCTCTGCAAGGAGGCCCGGTTCGACGATGCCAAGCTGCTCTTCCGGAAGATGGTGGAGATGGCGGCCGAGGACGTGACGAGCTACTATCTCCTCGTTCGTCCGCTTTGCAAGGCCAAGATGATCGAGGACGCCGAGATGCTTGTCACCGAGTCGAGGAAGAAGCTCCTGGAACTCCCGCTCCACAATCTGGTGGTGTCCTCGTACTGCAAAGGGAAGACGCTCGATGCTGCGGTGGCCGTGTACGAGAAGATGGTAGCGGCGAACTCTTGCTCGGCGGAGTTCGTCACCTACACCAGCCTGATCCAGGGACGAAGCGGCTGGAGCAGGCCTTGATGTTCCTGGCAAGAATGGTCTCCAAAGGCTTCCAACACTGCCCCTCTGCGTCGACAACCGGCTCCACGAAGCTCGAAAGTTTCCGGGGGAGATGGCCAACCGGAACCTCACTCCCAACGTTGTCACGTACACGGTTCTCATCAACGGGCTCTGCAAAGGTGGCTGGGTCGACGAGGCTGTGGCGCTGCTGTCCAAGATGCGGAAGAAGTGCGTCCCCACGGCCGTGACTTACAACAGCCTGATCGGCCGAGCGGGCGAGCGAGGCCTACGACCTCCTGGAGGAGACCGAATATCTTCACAGTCAAAGAAGTCGGATGATGCTCTCCGAGTCTTGGAGCGCCTGGTGCTTCCGT